TCCACATTCCATATTCTATATTCTATATTCTATATTCTATATTCTATATTCTATATTATATATTATATATTATATATTATATATTAGATATTATATATTCTATATTCTATATTCTGTATGCTATATTCTATATTTTATATTCTATATACTATATTCTATATTCTATATCCTATATTCCATATTCCATATTCCATATTCCATATTCCATATTCTATTTGCTACCAACTGAAACCATTATCGGCCGAGCTCCATTCCCGACTCGCGCTGTATATTTTTATGTTTTTATGCTATTTCTACAACAAATAGAGGCACCTTCAGTTCATCCTAAGCCACCTCCGAACAGTTGATGGAAGAGCTTAATTTCTAGGAGCGAAATGAATAAGATAAATTTAATTTCTATTATCTAGCATTTCGCAGGACTCGAACCCTGGCCTTCCGAGGAGCAGGTGTCAGCTACTCTTGTACGATATAACGTTTTTTACAGCATTTCCTCAAAGGGTCTATATCTCGGGATTTTAAGTCTATATAATTGCTGAAAAGGTCACTTGTTTTCATTTGGTCTCCAATTCTGAAGATTTTGGAGAACCTTTGGGCAGACATTTAAATTTGGTCCTTAATATTGCCTTGCAATTCGATCCAGATAAAGATTTCGACTATTGACTTACCATGGGTCAAGGTGCGTCCTCACACATCAACTTTTTCTATCTAACTACTGGCTATTTGGTCATCCGTCGTCTAGATCTGCTGACTATCCATCGGGTTTGAGTTGTTTGCTCTCTTCCTCAATCCTTCCTAAAGAAAAACGTATTATCTGTGCTTCGTAATCATGAAGAGTTGCGCCCGAATAGACCAACTCATCCACTTTTACTCTATCTTTTATTTATGCATATTCCAATAGTAGGGGAACCAGGTAAAGGAGTTGTCCAGCTGTCCGTTTAAAGAACTCAACTCAATAAGAATTCTAGGTATTAATTATGCCAGAGTTAATCATTGGTGATAATACTGACAATGGTGCTGCCTGACTGTCTAAGTACAATAAAAGCTTTCTTTATACTCGTACGCCCTCCTGTAGGACGCACTACTTTGGTAAAAAAAAATGAAAGAAAGTTTTCGTCGTGGATTGAGGCAGTGTAAAAAGCTCTCACAGCAATTTTTCGCCATTCACGCCTAGAAGGAATTCTTATATCCACTAAATGGGTGGAAAACGCAAATTGCTTATATAAAGAACTCTTCAAGAGGATTATATTTGTATAGGAATTTATGGATTTTAGGAAAAGCTCTTTGTAAGCGTTTATAGAGCTAGAGTAATTTATAGCTTAAGAGGGACAAGAGTGACTCTCTGATGTCGTCATGTAAATGAATCGAAATTAGTTCTCTCTTCTAGTATTAGATATCGGCGGAGGCTTTTCATACCGTTTCAATTACGAGTGGTTAGGGGCTTTGGCTTCACTAAAATACGATAGATGGCGCCTGCGTTGATCTATTTAGAAAATCTGCATTTTTGAAACGATTTCGATGAAATTCAAAACAAATAATGTGGAAGTTACCTGAAATATACTGCTTCAGACGATAAAAGTCTCCACTTGTTGGCACATTAGATGCGCTAATAAGTATTTTGTACTGAATGCTGAATGAGTAAACCATAAAGTTTCCTCGCATCGTTAACTTGGCACTCAAACAAACATTTTCATAATTATTTTCAAGCAGAACAATTTGATAAATTTTCAAAATTTTTTTCTTTAAATTTGTTTCTTAATAAATACTTATAGTTATGGAAGGCAAGAAAAACAAAAGCCATATGCCAAAAATGAACTCACGCAGTTAATTGTAATTAAAAGAAAAAAAAAATGTAATCAAATATCTAAGAGCTTTCTACTGCAGATTAGAATTTTTAATAAAAAGAAGAAAAAAAATTAATGCGAAAAGTCGTGTGAACATTACTAGAACACATTGCATTCCAAATTTTGTGCGCTCGTTTATATGTATGTATATGTAGAGAATTAGTTGGTTGAAAAAAAAAAAAAATATTAATAATAATAATAATATTTCAAAAATTCGTAATTCTGTGGCGCGTGTGCCGAATACAATTACTTTCGTAAATTTGCATGCCGAAGAAGAAGAAGAAGACGAACTGGAGTGCTACGACTGCTAAAAATTTAAATGCTTAATCGAAAAAAAATATATCAATAATATTTATTCAAGGTGAAAAAAAGTGGAAACCAAAAAAAAAAACAAAAGAAATAAATAAATAAAAAATTATGAGAGCATAAAACTATGCAGTTACTGTGTTAGGGAGAGAGAGTTCAGAATTTTCTTCTACTTCCTATAAAAAGAAATCAAAATGAAGAGCTGTCTTCGGCAATGCTGAAGTCTTTATACCTGTCAAATTTATGGTACTCCATTTTAGGAATAAATATTTATGTCTGGAAAATTAGTTGAAGATACCTATGATACTCGTATAGTGTTCCAACCGCGATAATTTACGGTGTCAATTAATATTTCTACATGCGTTTGTACTAAGTCTCATTGTCTGTCTCCCAACCTATTGCGACGTCATATCTTTTGAGATGCCAGAACCTCATCATGCATTTTTCATCAACCAAGCAACTCTTTGTGAACAATTAAACAGCAGCACTTACCAACCACTTATGTATTGCCGTATGAGGTCCCTATAGTTTAGTACCTTCTTCATGATGCTAATGAGAGCGGCAGTGGAGACTTCTGCAGGTTACTGCTTGTCAAGCACGACATCATGCTGTTTAATCGGCAGCAAAGAACAATGTGGACAGTACACATGCAACATCAGCAGGGTTCCGCTCCAGTTCTCAGGGCGGTGTTTTCTTAGAATTTTCGATTTTTCATTCACGTTTTGTCTGTCGACGGCATCTAGATTTGTGTGGCGTCTAGAGCGGTGTAGGTTGTCAGCAAGATTTTTGTAAGTAAAGTTGCAAGTTTTATACTTCATTTGGATTCCTCGTCCCAGAGACTTAGCTTCCCTGCAAACTAGAGACGAACTTTCAAAGCAAAATACGACCAAGTAGATTTCTTAGAATAAAGAACTCATTGGTATGACTGTAGCCATATACAGACTCCTACTAAAGGAACACATTCGAAGAGATGAGGTGAGATCAAAACGTGACCTGTTCCAAGTCGAGACAAGTTTGACTGAAATAATATTAGAGATAGTCGAACATTTTATATTGTCTGAAAAAAGGAAGATATTTCAACGGTAATTGGAAATGTTGGGGGATAAAAATTATTTATATTTTCCAATTCCAAAACGTGTTCAAAAGCAAAATAGAAATTCTAAACTTTCTGCTCTACAACCTCAAGCACAAACCAACAGACGAATAGTCCCGCAGCATTTTCTAATGAATTTCCTCTTACTAAATGGATATTTGTTTTTTCGCTGGTCTCAATTTTACTTGAAAAATCATTAAAAAAAATCTTCAGCGTCGTCGTCGTTCGACTTTGATTGGCGTGTCCGCTGAACGAGTGAGCGATCAGTCGTGCGAAAATGTGTGCAGAAAGAGCGAAGCTCTTCAACTCTCAAACATACAAACATACATGAATATATATGCATGTAGTGCTACTTCGTTTCCGTGCCCGATCATACTTTGTTCGCATGTTTTATGCTCAGATTACGTGTTGATCGCATTTAGTTTATGAACATTTGTTTTGAATGAAAAAGTGTGGCGCTTTTATGGGCAATTAAATATCAAATTACAAGTTGAACGAAAATGGCAACAAAAAGGAAATGGAAAACAAAGATGCTTTGAAGAAAATGTGTAATGAAAACTTGTTGCTTTCGTAGAGAAGTATTTTTCGAGCCATGACGTACATAAGTCGCAAGACTAGCAGCGTTGCAGGGAAAAAATAGATTTCTTAATGCAAAATATGAGTTCCATGAAGATCTTATTGGTGATTAACTGAATTTTCAAGCCATTTTCCAGGGCTTCATTCCATTTTTTAGTTGTGATCTGTAACTAAATGTACAAAATCAGCTCTCTGTGAATCACAAGAGTGCAGGTCTTTGCTCAAAGGTATTATCTATAAGTCTGAGAAGCAATAAACCGCACGACTTTTGTGGTTGCTGTAGTGTTAAGAGAACTTTTTTTAGCTACATGAAGCCCACGAAGCAGCTTTTTCAACGAGTTCGGTGCAAAAGAAAAATACCATAAAATGAGTCGCTCCAGGATCCTAGTATCAAGTCTTATGGTTTAAGCTAAAGCTCTGCCTTCGTTATAGTTATTATCCGGCTTCCTATTATGTCATACCTAAAAAGGTCAAAGAGCAAAGAAGGCACAGAAGTAGGGCTCTCACTATGATATATGCAACTCAGAGGGGTACAGTACTCAAAGCGATTTTATCATACGATTGTAGCTTTTTCAACTATGATCTACCTCTCCCCTCTACTGGTTTAAATCGGTATGGCGTCCATTAGTGCAGACTGATAGTAAAAATACTAGAAAGACACTGATTTTATACCTCGTTTAAATCCCAGTTCACAGAGATATCGTTACCCTGCAAACTGCACGAGCTTTTTAGGTGAAATATGACTAAAGGTATACATTTGAAGACAGGCCGCTTTAAGCTGAGAACAAAACTTGACTTGGAACACATCGAAATGGTACCTGAGAAAAGCGTATATTCTCTGAAAAAAGAGTACATTTCAAAGGTAATTCGGTTCCTAACGACGCTGGTCTCAGTACATATTGCAGGAGTTACATTAATATAGATGAAGAAGAGACGATTTTCCTTCTCTTGCGGTATATGATTGCTCTGCTCTAGGCAATAGTAGACTTCGGCTTTTCTCAGTCACTTCTATTGAGAGATATTTGAATGGTTTTGAGACTCATTCTCATAGAAAAAATATCTTTCTACAAATCAAACAAGTTTATTATACATACATATATTATTTATCTTGATTTAGTACAGTTTTTCAAGTAAAATAATTTTTATTCATTTCTCTCTTTTATTTTTATCAATTTTCATTGCAGGTACTGGCACCTTCGGTCGCGTCTGCTTATGTCGTGATCGTGTGTCGGAGAAATATTGTGCCATGAAATTATTGGCTATGACCGATGTGATACGCTTAAAGCAAACCGAGCATGTTAAGAATGAACGAAATATTTTGCGTGAAATTCGACATCCATTTGTGATCAGTTTGTAAGTTGAAAAAAAAACACTAAATTTAATTATAGAATTTAAATTTTAGCATTTAAATAGACGGTGTCAAGTGTATTTTATTAAGTGGTTCTATTAAAGAATCTTTTAGTGCAGTCTGCATACCATTCTCAGACTGATTCAAGAGATAATTTCACTGAATTTTTTGCCTGCGAAATTTTCTGTTTCCCACATATTTACAATTACAATTTATTTTATATATATACATATGTATATATTTAAAAATTTAATTTGAAAAAACAACATTTAATTCGTACTAATAACAGCAGGTCCATAAAAAATTTAAAACAAGCAATCACAGAGTATATTTGAAATAAGCTTAGACTGCTTGTCAGTCTGAACTATGAGTTCGGGCTTCTACTCCAGTTTGTAGTACCCATCATGATATTTTGCCTACAAATGGAGCGCCTTAAAGTGTTCCTGCCAGACCCCTCTTGTTATAGTAAATTGCTTAGAGCATCTCACACCTCTGCCAATGCCTGCAAAGCCCTCTCAGTTGGTAAGTTGGTGTGCAATATGAGAATGTTCAGTCTCAATCTCGTAACTGCGGTACAATTCATAAGAAAGTGAATAAATAGTTCTTTCACCTCGTGCAGGTAACCTCGCTAGTGGAGTTTCCATAATATTCCAAGCCCTACCATGTGAATGTCTATCGGATATTGCCTATCAATGAGAACTTTCAGAGTGTAAGAGTGTCTTGATATTGAGATCGAAAGCAGTTTTCAGTCTTGGTTAAACTAGAAATAAGTGTCAGCCGAACATGTGGTGATGATGAACTATTGGCTATTTGAGTAATGAACAGTTGGCCTTTCTCACAGAAACCGTCCTTCGAAGTTGAAAGCTACTGCAATCGTTTTGAACCCTGAAAACACCTTCAACACCTAATTTTCGACAGAAGATAGCCGTACCGATTTATGCCTTAAATTTCGACCTAAATGTGAAAAAATTAAGTACTAGTATGCTCTTGTCCTCCCGTGGAAGAAATTATGGTGCAGAAGCAGCCGCTTAACTGGCAAAATGATTCAGGCTCCCGAACCACGACTTCTGTAGTGATAATCTCACTTACACACCGCATTAAGTTCTAAGGTTAAAGCAGTTCGCAGTATATTGAAAAAGCTGGTGAGAGTCTGGCGTTGGACGATTTCAGTTAACGAAGCAACAGCAACAATATATATCAATTTCACCAAACTACAACGAGTTCAACTATATGTAGATGGGTAGATCTCTAACTGATGGCGTTCCTGTAGTAATATTGAACTTCTATGCACAGTAACCCAGTTTAACCAGCTGTGAACCTTAGACCTTAAGAGCTATAGATGGTCATTAGATCTTCTGTTGGTCTAGGTTTGGAAGAGCATAAGTTTGGTAGACGCAAAATGCCGAGAGGGTGATGTTAAGATTGACAAGAGGATCATTTATGTTGATATTTTTCTCATAGGTCTTTACCAAACCTTGAAGCATGGTTAGCAGGTTTGGTGTGCTGTAGATTTGCCAAGTCTGAAGTCACACTGATAAGAACCATTCAGCTTATCGACGGTGGGCTTCAAGCTCTCACATAATACACTCAGTTCGACATTCTTTTCGATAGTGAGGAGGACGTAGATTTAGCAGTCGCCTTTTTTGTGAATTGTGCTGGATATACTTAGTTTCCGATACTTAGGCACGCACTCATCCCACCAACCAAAAAACCAGATGGAAGTGCATATTCTGCTTCCAGCCTCTATAGTTGTTTAGACGGATTTGAAATTCGAATCTCGTCTTGGCCGGTCTGCTCCATCGTCATCGATTGGAGAAACGGCTTGACAAACTCATGCTGGTTCACTGACAGTGCTGTTCAGCAGGCTAGGAATATGCTGCTTCTAGTAGGTCAGAGTACTCAGCATATCAGTTGCTAGATTACCTTTCGTTCTTGAGCTCACCCTTCGTTTACCGAACCAATTTTTCAAGCCTTTTATACTTACAACACTCTCTTTGCCTTGCCGAAAACGTATGGTTTTGCTTGGAGCTGTAGATAGGGATCTTATAATGGTACTCCGCAGTTTCTGTAGACTAGATTAATAACCCACGAAGAAGAATAGGAGTGCTAGTAGAGTAGAAAATCTTTTGGATGTTCTCGGAGCCATTCCCACAACATTTTGACGTAAGGGATTATGAAATTGTGGAGTTTAGGCACTGTCTTACCAGGAGTCACATCCTATCTACTGTTTGTGACCCATGAATGTAACCTTTGCAAAACTCTTTCCGAAGCTTTTACCTATTTCGATCCGCTTAAAAATTTACATTAATATTCATGAGCCTTTCAACGAAATTGTCGAAATAAAGGTGAAAATCTCGTGTATGTACTTAGCGCTAATGCGCATTATTACTGCCGTCTGTCAATGCAATTTCATTTACTCCATTATTAGTGTAGTTAATTTTAAATTTATTTTTCATGAGAAAGTTCAACGCTACGAACATATTTATAAACAACAAACTAATAATTTGTATTATCTAAGATTACTAATTAATTATTATTAGTTAAATTCTTTGTTTGTTGTCTTCCAGAGAATGGTCCACAAAGGATGACTGTTGTTTATATATGATCTTTGAGTATGTTTGTGGTGGTGAATTGTTTACATATCTACGAAATGCTGGACGTTTCAATAGTCAAACTTGTAAGTATTATTTAATATTAGTAAAAGAAAAATCTAAGTAAATAGTATTTATTAAATGCACATACAAACTTATAAACGAATACATAAATGCTGCACGTGTAGCTGCAATATTTTAGCAAATTTAATATATTTTTGACATGTAAACAAATCATTAATAAAAATTTTACAAAGCATACATATATATTTTTCATTAAAATAATATTAACAATAACAAGAGTATAATAATATTATTGAAATTTTTCTTCCTTCCCTTCGCTTTATTAGCCAATTTCTACGCTGCTGAAATCGTCTCCGCATTAGAATATTTGCATTCATTGCAAATTGTTTACCGTGATCTGAAACCAGAGAATCTGCTGATAAATCGTGATGGCCATTTAAAGATTACAGATTTCGGCTTTGCCAAGAAATTGCGCGATCGCACTTGGACACTGTGTGGCACGCCAGAATATTTGGCACCCGAAATCATCCAATCGAAGGGTCACAACAAGGCGGTGGATTGGTGGGCGTTGGGTAGGTGGAATGTAAACTTGAATACAACAAAAAAAAGAAGAAAATAACTATAAAATAGAAAATAAAACAAATGTCCATGCACTTAAACATATATAAATGTGTGGAAATTTCTAAAATTATTTTTTGTTTCTATTTGCACAGTTTTATTTTGTGTTTTTATTTTGAAAAACATAAAAATTACTAAATCTCAAGTAAAATTAGTAAATTTTAGTGTTTTCTTATTGTTTATTTATATATAAATTTATATTCTAATTTTTATTATATGTATATATTTTTTCTTCCTGTGTGCGTGTGTGTGTGTTTGTGTGTATTTTCAGGTGTGCTCATTTACGAAATGCTCGTTGGCTATCCGCCTTTTTACGATGAGAACCCATTTGGTATTTATGAGAAAATTTTGAGTGGCAAAATCGAATGGCCGCGTCATATGGATCCGATTGCGAAAGACTTAGTTAAGAAATTGCTGACAAATGATCGCACCAAACGTTTGGGCAATATGAAGGTGAGTGTGGTGAGTTTGCTGCAGGGCAAAAATTTATGTATATAAACAATATATATTATATATTTGAGAAAAGTACTATATATTAGTTTTTAGTGGAAAAATACTTAGAGTATAAGAAATATACAACCAATATAAATATGTATATCCACATATATACACGCAAATACACATTAATAAAAAGCTTTAAAATATTATAAAAATGTATATATATATATATTAAAGGCTTCAGCTATGTCGGAGTTGTGTTTTACATAATTTAAAAATTTTTTTAATTCTTCTTGTTTGTTAAATGCTGTAAATATTTTAGTAAATTTAGAGGTACTAATATACAGCCATATGAACTGCGACGGTCTGCAGTCTTAATTAAAATAAATTTGTGATTACCAAAAAAAGTTAGAATCATTTCAAACAAAAATAAAAATGACAAGATAAACAAAACTGAAAAAAATTCAAAATAAGTATAATACTTCAAAAATAACAATAATGCAGAAATAAAATGAATATAAAATAAAAAAAAAAATTTAATAAAAAAAATTACAAAAATATTTTAAAATAAAAAAAAAAACAAAATGAAAATGAAAAAAAAAATTAAAAATTATCATACTGAAAAATAACAATAATGTAAAAATAAAATGAATATGAATTAAAAATGTTACAAAAAAAGTTATAAAAAAAAATAAAAATTAAAATTAAGAAAATGAATAAAAGTAAAAATGACAAACAAAAAAATTAATAAAAAAATAATAATAAAAGAAAAATTCCAAAAAAAATTTATATGAGAAAAATTAAAAATTAATGTCAATGGAAGGGGAATAGCACTAATAAATAATAATAAAAAAATTAAATGAAAATGAGAAAATTAAAAAAAGCAAATAAAAGTAAAAATGACAAAAAAAATTAAATAAATATTTAAAAAATTATAATATTGAATAAAAAACGACAAAAACATATAAATGAGAAAAATTAATAATAATTAAATATGAAATGAATTATATGTTATAATTAAAAAGTGTAAATGAAAAAATTATAAAAAAAAAAACAAAAATGAAAAAATAAAAATAGAAATGACCAAAAAAAAAAAATAACGATAAGATGCAAAAAAAAAAATATAAATGAAAAAATAATAAAATGAAAAATAAAAAACTTAAAAAGTAAAATGAAAAATTGAATTAAATTATAAATAAACAAAAATATAAAACAAGAGTGATATTAAGTTTTCACAATATAACAATTATTAATAAAAAAAAGCAGCAGGTGGTAAAAAAATAAAAACTTATTCAAAAATATTTGCCAAAATTAAATTTATTTATCAAACTTGAATAATTAAGCTATTAAAATGCATTAAAGACTTAAATAGACAAATAAAAAAAGTAAGGAAAATAAATATTTATAATACATGTTATTTTTTTTTTTTGCTTATAAATCAATTTCATCATTACGAACTGCAAAAGTAATTTACTTCAACAGTTTTAACCAACAGCTGAACTAATAAACACACCTTTTAACGGCTTAAAGTACTCAAAGTTTATAATTAAAAATAAAACAAATCATATTTTTTTTAGGTATAAATGGTTTCGCTTAGGAAGTATCAATTTTTTAAAATCTATAAACGAAAGAAAAATTAGTCCTGTCCTCATCAGACTTCTCATGTCAGGGAACGGTTCATTTTATTAAGAGATCAGCCCAATTTTTTTAAACCGTTTTCATTTATTTTATTTTATTTTATTTTGCTTTAATTTATTTCATTTATTTTGTATTTTATTTCATTTTATTTTACTTTATTTTATTTTATTTTATATTATTTTATTTTATTTTATTTTATTTTATTTTATTTTATTTTATTTTATTTAATTTTGTTTTATTTCGTTCTACTTCATTTTATTTTTCTTGATTTATTTTAATTTAATCTTTTTATGTTATTTAATTTTATTTATTAAATGCACTTTTTAATAATTGTTTTTCAATAATCATCCTGTGAATGTGTAAAGGCTTCTCATTATTATGTTTCTCCTTTACTTTTGTAATTGTTTATATAAGCAGGTAAAATTGGTTGATGAAGGAAGAGTTTGTGAATGAAATCTGAATGAAAAGCCAAATAAACCTTTATTTGAATGTTTTCTGGCTGTAAAATCTTTGTTTTTGTTTTGAATTTTTTTCCATTCTTCTATTATTATAGTATTTATTTAAAAATGTTCAGCATACATTTACATGCATACATACGATTCCCTTGTCAATCAGGTTGGCAATCATTGACTGGCGTTTGATGGACAGTTGAATGATTTCTTATAGAAATATATGCACATATATGTATATATATGTGTGTATATGACCATATTTAAAAGAAAATAAACTCAAGGGCGCTAATAAATATATTATTAAAATAAAAAATTTTAAGAACCATGTGGTCTAATTCCTTTGATTTATTTGCGAGAGTTTTCAATTAAGTGTGACAATAACAAAAACATCTTATCATCACCGATTTAATTTTAGTTAAAAATAATAAATTATAGCTCGCTTAAAAATTGGTTTTTTGTTCAAAAAAAGTAAGGGTTACAACAAAAAAAAAATAAATACAAAAAATGGTTTGGCTTTTATGTTAATATGAAGCGAAAAACATTTTTAAATAATTCCTCACCATAAATGCATTTAGTAATATTCGATTGCCTAATTTTTTAATCACCTTTCCAATTGCGTACACAAGCAGTTACATTTTTAACACATAAAAAATTATTCAAAAATATAAACACAAACTGAGAAAAATATTTAACCTCTATTATGCAACTCATTTGCAGTGCTCAAAATATTTACTTTTTTTTAATATACTCGTGTGTCTGAATTTTTCATATAAATATTTTTAAAATTATTTTTTTTTTAATATAAATATTTGTATATACATTTTCATTTTTTATTATATAAATATTTCGCACTTCTATTAATAAATTTTTGCAAGATTGTAAACAAAATAATTATTTTATTGCAAAAAACCAATTTTCGAACGATAATTATTATTGATGCCGTTGCTGTTTTTTTTGCTACTAAAAAATTTCAAAAAATTATATGCTGATTTTTTGTTTAGCAGGAATAAGCAAAAAACTAATTTCAGTCGCAAATTAGGCAATAAACAACTGCAAATGTGCATAAATATGTTTACATATTGATTTTTTCTGAGTTTTTTTTTTTTAAAGATTTTCACAATATTTTAATATATATTATTTTTTTAAGGTGTGCAAGATTAATTGGCAACACTTTGCATCATAAAATTTCGTACAAAAATATTTGTAAATATATACATATTTATGCACATATTTATGTATGTTGACTGTAAGCAATTAGAAAATAAAAATAAATTTTATATTCTCACTAGTGAGAAAAGTCCAAGCATATTCGGCTCAACTCCTTGCACACATTAAAAATAAAAACTCAAAAATCATTAAAATATAATTTTATAATTTTGGAATTGCACAAACATCATGTTTCACATAAGAAACTTGTAATATTTTGCCGAAACCTTGCGCCGCAGACGAACAGCAACAGTTGGTGAGCAGCAGGCATGACGCTCAGAATACCATAAAATTAAACTAAAAATAAATTTTAAATATTATAAGTAAAAAAAAAAATCACAACATTTACCACATATGTATGCAATTATTATGATATCTGCTTCGTGAAATTGCTCGTCTCCAACTGCGTTTGTGTTTACACAATAAAAATATGCGCATTTGAATTATGTGGCAAATAAATAAAAAATATATGAATTTATTTTTTTTTAACAAATTATATTCAAATTATGCAAACAATTAATGTTATGATATGAAATTTATGTGCCATAAGGCGAAAATTGTGGTTAGCCAATGGGGTGCTATAAAAATAAAATAATTTTTCAAAAAAAAAAAAAACAACTAATAAACTTATAATCGAAGCAGAAGGTGCAAATGTTTTTTTGAGTATATATACATACATATGACTTCACAGTGTGCATATATTCAGTGCACCTGAACTTGCTAAAATTTACCTAAATCGCAATTAAAGACTCTCTCGAAAAGAATCTTAAAAGCTTTTAAATCTGGAGTTTTCCTTTGAGGATTCCAGGGAACTTGATACGAAATATGAAATTTACGTGAAATGCTTAAAATATAATTGTCTTAAATAATTGAAAAAAATCATATTTAATGTGCGAAGGCTGTCGTTGGTTCATTGGTGAAATCACTAGTCACTTGAGTATTGGTATTCACTTCCTTTTATTAAATTTATATTTAGTTATATTATATTTTGTGTTAAATTCAATTTACAAATTTTTCATTAATTCAGAACATTGGGAATATATTTTTTAATTTTTGTTTTAATTTTTTATTTTGCAAAAAAAAAAGACCAAACTCTGAATAGAAAAAAACGATGATTTATTTATTATATTTTTAGAAGTTAAAAAAAAGTTGATATTAATTTGAAATCTTAGTACTTTAATGGAAACATTTTAAATTTAAAAATATGGCGAAAAATGTTAATATTTTTTTATAAATTGTAGTTATTTTTTTATTTTGCCAAATAAATTAAGTATTTTTGAATGCTTTTTTTAATTCTATACTTCTTCTCTCAAATGATTTTATTTTAAATAATTTTTGCATTAATATATAGAAAAAAATTCACATATTTAAAAAGCAAAGAACTTCGAAATTTCTTCAAAATTTTAGCATCTTAAAGGCAAATTTAAAAAAAAAAATTTTTTAATACATATTTATTTTCATGTTTTCAAAATAACTTAAAATTAGTTAAATTTAATTTTTCATTAAAATAAATCGATATATTATTCTTTATTTAACAAAAAATTTAAGGCCACTCAAATTTTTAAAATTATTAATTTAAAAACTTAAATTTTTTTGAAAAATGTTTATTTTTTCCTTTCTAAAATTATTTAAATATCTTCATTTTTTACTTCGCAAAAAAACTTAATTCGAATAAATTAAACTGCGAGCATTTTAGTTTGTAGCAGAGAGAGCTAAATTTTTAATTTGCCAAGCAAAATTTCTTTTATTGCAAGGTATTAAATGTTTTTAAAATGTTTAAATTGCACAAATTTTACTTTAATTTAAAATAATTATTTTTATTTATTTTTCATTATTATTTTTTTCTCTGAAAAGTTTTAAAGATTTTTTTCATTTTTTTTTGCTCAGTATTCAATCACTAATATATAAAAACATTTAAGTAAATCAAATTTTAAATTTTAGGAAAATTTTGTTAAAATTCTTATTTAGAAATTTTTTTAATTAATCTTGCGAATAAGCTGAGTTGCCTTACAAATTATTGTATTTTAATATTTTTAAATTGGTTTTAACTAAAATTGGTTTAAAAACTATTTTGTAGATATTTATTTGATTCCTTAAACTATGCAAATATTTAAAATAAAAAAATTTAAATAATGTTATTTTTTATTGAAATAAATTTTTTTTAACAATGGATTAATTCATTTTTTTTTAAATATAATTAATTTTAAAAGATTACTTTGAGAACATAAAAATTACCAATTTTTTGTGGAAGATTTTGACAAAATTTTTCAAAAATACTTATTTTTTATCATTATATATTATTTTAGTTTAAATTAGGTTTCGCTTTAAATATCAGCACAAAAGCTTGCCTTGAGTTGAGGTATCTTATTTATAGCAAAATTAATTTAATTTTTTTATATTGCTTAAATATCTTAAAAGCTTTTTTATGTATATATTCTAATTTTTTTTTTCAAAAAATACTAATTAATTAATTAATTCTTTAAAAAGAGCAAAATTATTTCAAAATTTTTTAATTTAATTTTTTAAATAATTTATATATATATTTCTTTTTCCTTTTTGAATATTAAAAAAAAAGTTTAATTATTAATGAACAGTTTTGTAATTTTTTAAAATTGAATTTTATTAAAAAAAAATTAACCAAATGAGTATATTGCAGTTTATGTGTTATACAAAAATATATTTGACTCTCTTCTGTTTGTTTTGATATACGATTTATTTATTATTAGAATAAACAAAAACAAAACATTGGCAAGAACATGCATTTGTTTTTAAAAGGCAAACAACATCTTTTTTAATTATTTTTCTTTCTGATTTTATTTATACTATTCCGCACATATTTTTTAGCTAATAATTGGGGGGCTTTATACATAACTTATCCTTATTTAGCAATAAACATATTATTATTTGTAAAACTTAAGTTATATGTATATACATATTTATGTACAAATAGACATATATACATATGTATTCTAATTTTCTTCCACTTTTTTTCTAATTTCTCTCTTACATCCAACTTTACTTTCGAATGGGATTTTCGTTTAATCTTCGACATGGCGCATGCGACTGCCAAAAAAAAAAAAAAAATTGACAAACTGCAAAAATAAAAATTAATTTATTCAAATATTTATATATAAAATAAAAAATAAAATAAAAAAAAATGCGTAAAAAATTCTACTTTGTGGCTCCTCTCGCTAACGACCCATGGCTGCGCGGTTGGCACATCAGAATGGCGCTGATGACGTGAAGCGACATCGATGGTTCAAAAATTTGAATTGGAATGACGTCTACAACAAAAAACTAAAGGTAAGTGGCAGATTGTCGTATTATTAACAAATATATATATATATATGTATATAAATATATACATGCATGCTAAACTATACATATATACCCATAGATCAACAGCACACTTTTGCTTGTTTTCACCCCCTCCCTCCATACTTTTATCCACATTCAAACGCTTCCTAATCTCTATTTTCATTCATTTAAGCTTTATGTAATTTGTGTCTTTATTTGTTGGCTTTTTCTTTCTTAAATTCAAAAAAAGACTTCATAAATCTTCTACGCTAAAATGAAAAACTGACAGTTTTATACTAAATATTTGTTAAAAATAAGAAAAAATACAATAAGTTTAGTTTAATTTAATTAATAGATTTTTATAAAAATACAAGAAAAATTATTTGAATACAAATAAACTAAAAATAGGTAAGGCAGCGTAACAGCAAAAACAAATTAATTGTATGAAATAAAAATGTTAGCGCGAATTTTTCGCAAACGACTCGTACAAAAGTTAATAATGTATTAAGGAATAAAAAAAATAAATTAAAAAAATTAAAAAAAAAATTCAAAATTTAAAAATCATTTTTGGTCACAACCCACACAACGGTGTGCTGACGTGCACACCTTTAGCCAGAAATCACTGCAACAAATTTAATCTTGTACTACAAAATTTTGGCAAACAACGTCACAGCAGAAAATGCTACACGAAAAGTGGTGGCCAGAAAATTGGGCAGCACTATAAAATATATGAGTATCAGCGCTCATAACTTTGCCGGTTAGATTGAAATGAGGGAATTAATTAAAATACTTTTTGTATTATAATTATTATTATAAGTTTTGATATAAAATTTTAGAAACTTTATTTAATTATTTCATATTTAGTTGAAATTTTTTGAGTTTATATTTTATTAAAATAGTCTTAATTTTTTCGCCACTACTCACATAATGTTTTACAGAATTTTTTCTCAAAAATTGTGTCCAAAAAATTTTACATAATTTTCGCTATTCATAATAAATATTTTTACCATTTTCGTTGTCAACATGCTCATTGGAAATTAAGAGTACGTAGCCACTGATGTACGTTGGCAAATTAAATTGCTATAAATCACAGCATTTCGACGTTAGAAATACAAAATTATATTATTCCGAATTTAATACGAAAATCTATAACTAATTAAGCGTATAAATATTTTGAAAAACAAAAAATTATTTTAAAAATATTTCCTGCAGCGAAAATAATTAATCGCTAGACATTGAGATGTAATTGTATAACAAAAAAAATACTCTTAAATTGTGATTGAAAAAAGAATGTTGAAAATTTGTTTGAACTCACTTTGATTAATATGTCTTCAAAGAACTAATCAATAGTTTGGTGTAGAAATTAATCTTAATTTAATTTATGTTCAAACTACTATAAATACATGTGTATGCCCAAATAATGACTGGCAAAAAATAAATTTATGGGAAGAGTACAGCGCAGTAATTAGAGCTATACATCTGCTCTGCGTTATATTTATTTTCATTTTACTCTTTTTAATTTCCTTATAATTTCTTTAATTTTACTTCATTTTACTTTATTTTTCTTTCTTTTGTTTTATTTTTATTTGTTTATTTTACGTCAATTTTTATTTTCGTTTGTTTTATTTCTTTTAATTTTAACTTATTTTCATTTTATTCTATTATCAAATTTTATTTTGTTTTCATTTATTTTATATTATTTATATACATTTCATTTCATTTGAATTATTTTTATTAATTTATTTTTTATTTCAATTCATATTCTTTTGCTTTACTTCATTATTTTTTTATGTTATTTATTTATTTTTATTTATTTGTTTTCTACTTGCTCCAATTTTTTTAAATTTATTTAATATTACTTTTTCTTTTAAAATTATATAATTTTACTTAAATTTTTCTTTTGCTTCATTTATTTCATGTAATTTTTTTATATTGTATATTATTTTATTTTGATTTATTNTTTTATTTTATTTTATTTTATTTTATTTTATTTTATTTTATTTTGTTTTATTTTATTTTATGTTATTTTATTTTATTTTATTTTATTATTTAATTTATTCTATTATATTTTATTTTATCATTTTTGTTATTCACATTTTTTTTTATTTTAATTAAATTGTTCTTACTTTACGCCCTTTTTAGTTTATATATTTATCATACCATATTATTTAAGTTGCTTTTATTTTATTTTATTCTTTATATATTATTTTATCTAAATTTGTTTTATATTATTTTCATTTTTTTAGTATAATTTAATCTTTTTTTTTGATTTATTTAATTTATTTAGTTTAATTTGACTTTATATATTATTCTTTTATATTAATTTAATTAATTAATTTTATTTTTTTAATTTGAACTATTATTTTACATTTTATTTTATTTCGCTTATTTTATTCTAATTTTCTTATTTATTTTTATTTTATTTTAATTTATTTTATTTTATTTAATTTTTAAATTTTTTTATATTCTTTTATTTGTTTATTATTTAATTTTATTTTTTCCATTTGTGATATTTTTTTTACATTCAAAGAATTTTTTGCTTTGTACTGTCAAACACGCCATATCACTTACGCAGCTACTCATCCTTCTATTTGTCAATTCAAAAAAAAAAGTAATAATACATAATAAACAAATACTAAACTGCACTGTTTGGCCTTTTTGTCTCACTTTCCCCCATTCATTGCTGATCGTTCACGCTATTGTTTGTTGTTTATTGCCGGTTAAGCTGTTGTTAATGCAACTGCAATAAATCAATGCCAACAGTGAGCTAAAAGTAAAATAAATCTACTTAATATTATTTTTTCGAAATGTATTTTCTAGATACTTATATTATTAGCAACTGTATTTGAAAAAAAAAAATAAAAAAAAATTAAAAATCATGAAAAAATTAAGAGAAAATAAATTTCATTTATTTATTTCCATAATTTGATAGTTGTTGCGCGCGAAATGGATCACCATTTTTGTTATTGTTACTCAAGCTGTTTCGTTAATGTTACAAATTAGTGTTTAATATTTAATTTGTTGTTATTATTGCCACTAAAAACACTCGCACGTGCGTCAAATCAGTGTGCGGCTGTAGTGGTTACACATACAATTATATATAGTTATTGCTACACCGTATGTTTATTTTTGTTGGACATGGACATGATGAAAATACTCCCGCGCACATATGTAGAAATGTGGACTTGCACAGAAATACATATGTAATTTGTATATATATATATATATATATATACATATATATATATATAAATATATTTATGCTGACGGGTGGCCTTTGAAAGCTTTGGCAAAAATAAAATTCGCAACAGAAAAAAAATGAAAATGACTTGCTTACAAATAACGCAAATGGTCTTAGAAATTGCTAGCAACTTGCAATATTTCAACATTCATACTAGATACATATATATGTACATATAGCCCAATTAATGCACATATGCATAATTTTGTTAAAAAAAGTTATTATTTTATTTATATCTTATTTTAATTCATTACTACTTAAATCTATTTTTTTATTTCACTTCGTTTATTTTATTTTATTTAACTTCATTTTACCATATTTTTTTATTTGATTTAATTTTATTTGAATTAAATTTTTTGCTTCAATTTCGTCTCTTTTAATTTAATTTAATTTCATTCTACTTTTTAATTTTGTTGATTTTTATGTTTTATGTTTATTTGTTTCATTTAAATTAATTTTTCTTGATCTTATTTAATTTAAATTATTATTTTTCTATAGTACTGTGTTTTAAATTAAATTAATTTTAATTTCCTTTATAAATTTTAATTTAATTTATTTTAAAATTTTTTTATTTATTTTATTTCATTAAATTTTGTTTTATTTAATCTTCGTTTTATTTCATTCTATTTCATTTTTTATTTTATATAATTTTACTCGATTTAATTTAACTAAATTTTATTTTTTATTCAATTCAATTTTACTTAATTTTATTTAATCTACTTTAATTTAATTTTGTTATTATTTCATGATGTTTTCATATTATTTAAAAATTAAATTAATTAAAAATATATATAAAAAACATATATGAATAAATAGAAATCTAAATGAATAAAATTAAATTAAGTAAAAATATATATCAAAAACATATATAACTAAATATAAATTAAATAAAATATGTCATATTCAACCTAATTAAAATACAACCGTTAAGCTTGGTTTATATATTTTTTTTTATTAAATTTAATTTTATTCATTTAGATTTATATTTAATTAAATATGTTTTTATATATTTTTTTACTAATCTCATTTTTTCATTTAAATTTATTTTGTTTTGGTTTAATTCTTTTATTTTAGTTTATATAAAAAATATTTTATTTTCTTTAATTTTACTTTATGTTATTTGATTTTATTATATTTTTTTGTTTTATGGTGTTTTATATTAATTTTTTAATCAATTTATTGTTTTATATTTTTTATATTTTTATTTGATTTAATTTTATTTATTTAACTTTATTTTAATTGAGTTTATTTTTATATTTTTATTTACTTAGTTTTCATTATTTTATTTAAATTTGTTTTTAGTTTATTTAAAATAATTTGATTTTGTTCAATTTTATTTCATTCTATTATATATTATTTTTTGTTTTATTTTTTATTAATTTTTTATATTATTTAAATTTTTATATTTTTTATTTAATTTAATTTTATTTATTTAACTTTATTTGATTTTAATTTATTATTATCTTTTTTTTATTTTATATTAATTTTTTTTGTTTACTTAAAATAATTTGGTTCTGTTTAATTTTTCTTTTTTTTTTATCAGATTTTTATTATATATATTTTTTAGTTTTATTTTATTTTATATATTTTTTTAGGTTAATTTATTTTTTTATAACTTTTAGATATTTTTATTTACTTTTAAATATTACTTTATTTCATTATTTATTATTTTTTATTATTTTATGTGAGTTTATTTAATTCTATTATTTAATTTTTATTTTATTTATGTTTATTTATTTTATTTCTTTCATTATAAATTTATTTTATTTATTTTTTGTATCTGTTAATTTAATTTTACTTTATCTTCCTATATTTTATTTTATTTAGTTTACATTTATTGAGAATATATTTGTATGAAAATTCAGATACTCTTACTGTTAAATAAATTCAGCTAATTACTTAAATACATATGTATGTATTTGCTCTTTTCCTTGCAGCCCCCAATAATTCCCGATGTCACATCCGATGGTGATACAAGCAATTTTGATGAATATCCCGAGAAGGATTGGAAACCCGCCAGAGCAGTAGACCAAAGAGATTTACAGTTGTTTAATGATTTCTAAATCACATGCATACTTACATAAGTATGAATGTATGTGTGTAGTTGATTTAAGTTTTGTAGTCTGTATTTATTTATTACCTACCTACTAATGATAATTTAATTAAAATAATATTTAAAATAAAATAAATAAAAATTAAATAAAATTATAGTAAAATTCAAATGGGTTTCATGATTTCTTTTGATATCTGCGAAAGAAAAGAAATAAAAAAATCAGAAGTATTACTTTTCAAATAAAACACACATTTCAAAGCAGCCTAATATTGTTTATGAGCATTTTTCCTTTGATCGACTGTCGTCAGCTGTGGCGAATTTACATTTGAACGCTTATGAAAATTTCACAAACACATTATTTCGCAATATAAAATTCGGTTTGTAGAATGTACGATAATAATTGAGGCGCCATCATTTGATTGGGTGTATACTCGTATATATTTTTAAGCTAAGCAAGTGTGCTCCTGAATTCAAGAGAGAAAAATTATATGTCTTCATAAAAAGTCTTAGAAAACATACCGAAGTAATGAGGGGTTCCTTTGACAAAAAGTACACCTAAATGGTTTTGTGGTTCGGCTCAACTTTGTATTACGAGAGAGCGCCTGTGACAAATGCAGCCGAACAGTATCTTCCACAAATGCAAGAGAGTTTTCATATTTTGAACTCGAGCCCTTCAAACCAGTTTCTAAAATATTTATTTGCTTTCAGATAAATTTATGAAGAAGAGAGCACATAGAATATCTAGTTGATGATGCACTTTAATGGTTTCCTCTAATAAAGCGAACAAAAAGTCTACCTGAAGCATATTACAGAAGATTTGTATTAATCTTAGTTATATATAGTAGTTTACTGTGTTAAGTTAAAGGAGAAAATTAGATGAATATTAAAATTCCCTATTAAAATGTGTCTCTGAAAATACGACGCAAGAAGAACTTGCAGAAGTATTAGGAGTTGGTCAAGCAACCGTCTGCAGACGATTAAAATCATTAGGATTCATCCAGAGGCTTGGAAATTGAGTGCCTTACGAATTAAAGTCAAGAAATGTCGAACATCGATCCTGCATGCCGGAAATGTTGCTTCAACGCCACCGAAAGTGGTAATTTTTGCATCGGATTGTCACTGGCTATGAAAAATGAATTTATTGTGTGAAGCCCAGCCAACCATCGACATCCACGGCTAAGCCGAATATTCAAGGTGCCAAGGTTATTCTATGTATTTGGAGCTATTGAAATCGAGTTAGACGATCAATGGGGAGCTCTACCGAAAAAAATTGATTCGTTTGAAAAAGGCCTTCGCGGAAAAACGACAGGCACGAATTCGTAATTTTTCATCATGACAACGCTCGGCCACATGTTGCAAGGCCAGTTAAAAACTATTTGGAAAACTGTGGATGGGAAGTTCTACCTCATCCGCCTTATAGCCCAGACATATCACCTTCCGATTATCATTTATTCCGATCAATGCAGAATACTCTCATCGGAGTACGCTTCATTTCAGAACAGGGTATCAGAAATCGGCTCGATCCTTTTGTGACCTCCAAACAGGAGAAGTTCTTTTGGGATGGGATCCACAAACTGCCAGAAAGATGTACAAATATCGTAGCTTTCGATGGGCAATACTTTGAACATAAAATGTATAACAGTATTTTCCCAATAAAGTCTTAATTTTCGAAAAAAAATCGCACGAATTAATGGAGCTTTTTCCAGTTCTGGTCTAGCCATATTGCCTCAAACGAGACTGTTCCATCTTGAATTCGTATTTGAAACGAACAGAACTTTTATAGTGAGCGCTCAGATAGATACAAATTCTTCCATAATGTTGAAATTGAAAATAAAATATTCTTTTTCCATGCTCTGCTCATCCGTTCCATCATTTCAATCTAAAATCATACTTTACCCTTACTGATGTTTTGTTACAGATTCCAGCGCTTGCAGCATTGCTCTTCGTAATGTTGTTCCTGAGAGCACTGGAGTGTTAAGCATTTGGTATGGTGCTATAAGCCAGGAAAAAGAAGAAAAAGCTCCATGTAATGGAGCTCTTCTGCTGACATGCCCAAGCGCCGATTATCCTCTGTATTCTCAAAACATGACACAGAAACCGTTAAATAGATTTTCTAATATTTGGATTAAGTAACTTTCCCTCAGAACAGCCACATACAGCGCAATAAGTCAGAGAGAGATGGTTAGTGCGCTGATCTCCTAAACTTGATAAGAGGAATTATTCTTGGTCCATTTGGACAATACTCATTACGCCAGATATAGTAAAAATCGAAAAGTTCTTACGGATATTAATTGATTACTCCTTAAAATTAGTACGGTGATACATCATCTATATGCCAACGGTTTCGTAGTCAGAACAGTTCAGACTATCGCTGGTTTTCGGTCACTGATCTCTTTGATTTTACTTTCATCAAAATCTCGGGTTTTCACTTTTTAAAACTGTCTTCGTGGACACGAAAAGGAGTACTTATGCGCACCGACTGTGTCTGAATTTGGTACACGCTGAGTGGTTAGCATTACGTACTGCCATGCTGAAGGTCGGGGTTCAAATCCTGGCACGACCAACATTCAAAATTTATAGAAAAATATGTTTAAGGGAAAATTAAATTAAATTTTCTAATCCCTCGGCAGGGAATTTCAACATTACTGATTGTATTTCTGACATGGAATCAGCCGTTCGGAGGGGGCTTAGTAGATTCTGTGGAGGTTATCACCACAACTTTAAAAAGTAATTAAATCTGACTGGAGTGTTCTTATGCTGAACAATGTCAATGTCGCTTTATACCTCGTACAGCTAATCCTCCCATCGGCTGCGGTATACGCCTTTCCTAACTCCCAAAGGACCATAATACATCTCATGCAAAACATCTCTCTTCAACACTTCTAACGGCGACTCATCAAATGTTGTCATCGTCCATGCCCCAGCAACATATAGTAGGACGGGTATGATAAGACACTTGTAGAGTTTGGGATTTGCTTCATCGAGAGAGGACTTTACTTTTCAATTGCCAACTCGTTCCAAAGTGCACCTTTTGACAAGGATGATTTTGCGTTGGATTTCAAAGCTTACTGGTTCTAATTCGACTTCAAACTGTCCGGAGTGACGTGGAAGTGGAATGCAATTACTCTTTGTCCGATGACAGGAGATAATTTTTCTTGCCCTCCTACACCATCAGACACATACGCTTCACTTCATCAGCCAAAGTGAAGAAGGTAGAACCAAAAAAAAAAAAAAAATGGTTTACTGTATAGAAAATGTTGCCTGCTCGATTGGGTGCCTAGAAAAGAACAATGTGGTTTGATATTCAAATATTTGAAAATTTGTCCGTCAGCAACGCTCGCTTTCATCCACAATTTCCAAATATGAAGCTTTTGAGGCTTTTTAGAATCCACAAAAGCTCTGTGTATGCACAATAACAAACAAAATAGATTTCACTACTGATGAATTGCATACTTTTAGACATAATTTCACAAAGTTGTACACAGTGGTGGAGGATAGGAAATGAGTAAAAGGGATTTGCTTGTGGGTAACCGCCGAAAAGCTGACCGCGTACGGGCTTCAATCCAGCAGATATTTCGTGTAACGAATTGTTGCTTTCGGCGCTTGTTCACACATTTCGAGTAAAACCGAAAAAACAAATACCCACCACCACCGAGCGCACACCACGTATGCATACATACATATACTATGCCGACTAAAATTCTTTTGGCAGGGGGTTGTTTGCTGCCATACGCGCCAGCCAAGCGTTAAACCAGCGTTCTAGTTCAAACAACGTGCAACACGATACGTGTCAGTTGCTGGTTTGAGGGCGGAGATGTGGCAAAGTCTTTTTTTTGGACCTTAACAAAGTAGCGTGTGTGAAAAACGTGATTTTGACGCTTGCTGACGTCATCTTGACGCATTGGCTAGCTTGTGTGCTAACAAAACAAAAAAAAAAAATTAAAATAAAATAAAACCTCAAAGCGAGCAAAGGAAGGGACAGTGTAAGGGTCTGTTTGACTATGTTTCGGTTTTGTAAACAAATAGTGGAATCGTTGGTGGGAGCAAAATTAAATATAATTATATGCATAAATAGCCTTTGCTGGCTAAATAAATATGTAATTGAGTGTACATATATACATAAATATTCATTTTGTGAAGTTAATATTGAAACTACTCTGTGAAATAAGTAAAATCCACTAGTCAGATAACTGGTATTTTTATACCAGTCGAATACTAGTTTAGAATAGACTCAGATTTTAAATAGTACTTAAAATTTATTTAAAAAAAAATATTTTATAAAAATTATTAACTAAATTTTCTGATACAAAGAAATATCAAATAATTTATATAAGAGATAGGTATGAGGCTTTGTACTTGGTACACGTTTAGTATTCTTATGCAAGAGGTTTAAGGTTTGAAACGCCTTCAACAGTTAGAACTTAAAGCACTCTATTTAAATAAAATGAGAACTAGGAAAGAATCATGAAAGTGGGCACATTTAATAAAGATATATTGAAATCGTTCGGGTAAGAAGCCCAAGGCTATTTTGGAGGCAACAGAACTCTGTATCTCAGTGTTGGTATAAGATACGCCTGCCTCACATTATTCACAGGCTTATTCGAAGGTCATAGTGTCAGGTTATGCTGGGTGTTACGCCCCACTTAAACTTGCTGGTCCTTTTTGTAGTTGCAAAGAAATTAGTTACACAAATAGCTATTCGTAAACTGGTTAGAAGGGAACTAGTTACACTTAAAGCTAAAATTAAACTAGTTTGAGTGGTGCTCATGGTAGTAGCAAAAAAACTAGTTTCATGGTAGTTGCAAAGAAACTAGTTTCATGGTAGTTGCAAAGAAACTAATTTCATAGTAGTTGTAAAGAAACTAGTTTCATAGTGGTTGCAAAGAAACTAGTCCATGGTAATTTCAAATAAACTAGTTTTATAGTAGTTGCAAGGAAACTAGTTTCGTGGTAGTAGCAAAGCAACTAATTTCATAGTAGTTGCAAAGAAACTAGTTTCATAGTAGTTGCAAAGAATCTAGTTTCGTAGATGTTGCAAAGGATCTAGTTTCATAGTAGTTGAAAAGAAACTAGTTTTGTACTACTTACA